CTCCAGATCAAGGTCGTCGGCCACTTTGGTTTTTCCCTTCAGGGCAGCAACATAGCACTTGCAGGACTCAAGCTGGTCACCCCGCGCTACCCCCACACCGAAGTTTGTAAGGAACTTCATTGCCAAATAGTAGGTGGAGACCACTACCCGTAGGACATGCGTAATTGGCCGCCCTATTATGGCATTGTATGGGGAGGGGGTCGCGACCACCAGGAAATAGTTGTTGAGTCTCACCACACAAGGCCATGTGCCGACTTCCACAGGTACTGTTATTTTCCCAAGGGGCCTGACTTCCTCTCCGCTGAAGCCTACCAGAGGAGTGTTCGCGGGCTTCAACTCTCTCTTCTGCAACTGAAGCTGGTCAAATGCCGACTTGAAGAGGATGTCTGCCGAGCTACCTGAATCCACAAGTACGCGCCTGACTTCGAAGTCATTGATCCTTAGTTTTATGACAAGCGCATCATCGTGGGGGTAGTGGACCCCTCGCGCATCGTCTTCAGTGAAGAGAAATGGTTCTTCCGTCTTCGGCCTCTTTGGAGGGTTCTGTTCTTCTCGGGCTGCTTCGCGAACTGACATTCGGGCCGCTGCTGAAGTACAACCTGCTACCACCGAACCTCCCACTATCACGTGGATGGTTCCCCGAACTGGCCTCTCTTCCGGAGGTTGTCTTTGCGATGGTTCGACTGGCCTGCTGCTGGATTCGGGGGCATCTCTTCCGTGCTCCCCTTGCCGACCTACCTTATTATTATTATTATTATTATTATTATTATGCAGTACAAAATTTCTCAAGTACCCGCGATGGATGATTCCCTCTATCTCGTCCCGGAGATTACTACATTGCTCGGTACTATAACCGTGATCTCTATGGAAACTACTGTACAAGTTTTTATTTCTCTCGTTTGGGTTCCCTTTCAGGCGAGGTGGCCATTTGACGTATGGGGCATCTTTGATCGTCATCAAGATCTCAGTTCGCCTTGTGTTTAAGGGTGTGTAGTCCGTCCGAGCTGCTAAGGGAGCTCGGAACGGCTGGCTCGGCTTTGCCTCCCGGGCTGGGTTTTTTTCTTCTATCAACTGGGTTGGAGGGCTCGCCTTCCCTCTTCCTTTTCTCGATCCCGCTTTCAGTCCTTTGGTTGATCTCTTCCTCTGTTTTCATGAACTTATCCGTGAGCTTGAGGAATTTGGCCACGGTCGCGGGCTGGTTAGCTACCATGTGCCATTTGAACTCCTTGTGCGTTACTCCTCTCTTGGCCGTCGCGAGCTGTACCGTGGGGTCTAGTCACGGTATCTGCAAGCACGCATCATTGAACCGCTTGATGTAGCCCCGGATGGACTCTCCTTCCCTCTGGACTACTCTGAAGATGCTTTCCTCGGTTCTGGGGCACCGCTTGCTGGTAACGAAGTGTGCGGTGAAGACCTGCACAAACTGGGTCCAGCTTCTTATTGACCCGAGGGCCAGGTTCCTGTACCAAGTGCGGGCCACCCCCTTGAAGGTGGTGGTGAAGGCCACGCACATGCACGATTCACTGGTCCTGGATAGGTGCATTTGGGACTGGAAGGCGTCGATGTGGTCGTTGGGGTCGAAGGACCCATCATACTTGTCCAAAGGGGGGAGCTTGAAGTCTCTGGGCATGGGGACCGCAAGGAGTTCTGATGAGAGGGGGGAAGGAACTGAGAGAATAGGGGCAGCTTTTTCCTCGTCCGAGCTTGTCTCTTCTTTACCTCTAAGCTCGGGCAGGACACGGGCGGCAGTTCAGCGACTTCCCCGATGCCTTCGTTGCTGAGTGGGCCTTGTACTGGCGCTGCTAGCCTCCGTGTTGCCGAGCTCGATGGGCCCAGACTATTGGTAGTCTGCCTCTAGGACGCTAAATCGATTCTTTGTCAACGGGAGCTCAGACTTGGAGTGTCGAGATACTGACTTGGCAGGCGAGGTCCCCGACCCGCCGGCGAGCTGCGAGGGTGATTTTTCCTTCTCTTCGGCCCGGGGATGAGGCCTGGCTCTTGTGGGGATTCTGAAGCTGGGAGGCCTCTCCTCGGTGATGGCGTCCACCCTGAGGGGAGGGTTTAACTAGCTTTGGAGCAGGTGCCGAGGTGGAAGCAGTGGTTGGTTAAGGGGCAGTTAGGGGAACTCCTGCTGATAGTGGTACTGGGAGATGTGGTGCAACACTTGGTGCTGCTGGAATTGTTGCATTTGGGCTTGCATTGCCCGCATGCATTGCATTAGGTCGTCAAACTGGTTCTGGTTGGTCGCTAGGGGGACAACAGTTGGTTCAGTAAAGGTTGTTTCGATAGGGAGTGGAAAGGGGACGTTCATGGCGAAGGCTTACGGATGCCTCTGTTTGTGGCGCATTCAGGCTGGGGATCCCATCCCCCTTCCGGGGGATGGTGAACTGTCCGATGCACACCACGGGGACTTGAAGTTGTTCCCCGGTGGTGTTCATCTCCGTGCCACGTCCGGCGTTGCTGGAAGAAGCCTTGAGTGTTGGGATTTTTTGGAGAAAAAAGAGGTTATGAGAGTTTTAGAGGGAGACTTTTAGAAGCGTTTCCCACAGACGGCGCCAATTGATGGTGCACAATCCGGCCAGTCCTTGCTGTCAACGACCTTGCCTCTGACTGGAGCAATAGGTGCCTGAAACGGAGAAAGTGGGGAATCTCCGGGGAGGAACCCGATGAGATTGCTCCGAAGCTCAAGTTAGTATTCTCTCAAAGGCAAGATAAAACCAGATGGCGCAAAGTTCACATACTTTGCTCTTGGGGGGTAGGGAGCCTTTTATAACCACTTCGCTTACTCACTCCTAAGCTTCTGTCAAGTTGGGTATGATTATCTCTGCGCTCCTGCCAGTTCGGGTGTCATCACGTCTGCTGGGGGTAGAACCGCCACTGCTCTCTTTGTCAGATCCGTCTCTGCAACTGGAGATGGCGGTGGCGGTGGCCGTTGAAATGCGGCTGTCAAGCGTCAGATCCCAAGTCAGTCAGGTGCGCCGCTCCTGGGTACGGACTTCCTCGGTGTCAGGCGTGGTACGGTTGTTCAGTTTGGCGTCCTGGAGGCGAAGTGCTGGAGTGGTGAGCGAGGTGAAGTCTTGAGTTCGGATAGAGGTGTGTCCCGAAATGCCATGGGGCAGGCCAGTTCGAGTTGTTGCCCTTTGCGTTTGTAAGGCTCGGGGCCTAAGGGAGAGCTCGGGCTCCTTGCGGGGAGTTCGGGCTCCTTGTAGGGGGTTCGGACCGCTGGTTCCTCCTTTCAGAGCTTGCGCCTTGGGCGTACTGTTGTGCCGAATTGTTGCCTTTACCACGTATTGAGTGATTACGAGATCGGGCCAAATCTTCCTTCATCAATTTACTTTTCATATTCCGGCATTATACACTACCATTTGTTTTTTCTTTCTTCCTTTTCCCGGTAAACAACTAAACATATATTTAATTTGGAAATTTGAATTAATCCGATAAAGAAGAGATAATTAGACGCTTAATTAAAGAATTGGTTCCGAGATGGACGGTTCTAATCCCTGAGACCAGGGCAGAGAGGTGAGTGGGATGGGCAGATGGGCCAGTGAGTGATTGAAAGTGACTGAGTGCGTGTGTGTAAAAGTGCTTGGTGAGCTGTTACCGAACAATAGGGAAGAAAACGAGGTGGGCTCCACGTAGATGGAACATATTCCGAATTTTTTTCCACGTGGCTTACGACTCAAAAATCCTATCATTAATCATTACCTCCCCACTAAAACAAAGTTTAAAACAAAAATTTGTTGTTTAATTATTTCTCAAGCATCATTAGAAACTTCCTACACCCCTTTTTTTTGGTTTTGGTAACAGTCCTACACTCCATATCGGCTTCATCTTTTTTATATATTCAAGCCAAGACTACGTAGACGAGTAAGTGAAAGTGAAAGTGCGAGCCAGCCATCTGAAGGGGGACCGAGGTCGAGTCAAGTGGAGTGCGGAACCCTCACCCAGCCGACAAATCCCGTTTCAACGGAAAGTCGTGGGCATGTCTCACCGTTTTTCCTCCCCTTTGGGCCTTAACCTCCACGATTTCTCACTAAATACATCCATCACACCACATCCTCGGTGGTCCTATAATGCCTCCACTAATTTTACTTGAATCAACAGTTGCAATAATCGCCATTTTGACTCACGAATCGCTCTTATCGACTCGGAATCTCGGATCCTCCTTCGTAAGTATAAAGCATAACACCCCCTCCCCCCTCATATTTCCCCTTCAAGAAAATATGACTCGCCTCTATCAGCAAACGATTCAATGTTTTGTGCTGGGTCCCACATGACCGGCATTTCTTTGGCCCATCGAACGTCCAAATAGAAGAGGGAAAAAAAAAAGGAATATTCTCGATGCCGGAAGTGGGAGGGCCGCCCCGGCAAAGGGTGGCGGTGCGGGTTTACTTTAATAAGCGTGAGACGCGCTGAGTGGCGGGACCTGGTTGGCTCGGCTTAAGCCGACAAGGCAAAGCAAGCTGCGCCGGATGAACGTGTAAAGTAAAGAAAAGATAGACGGAAGATCATAGATGGGCCTCTCTTTCTCTCTCCCCTTTTTACGGCTGGGCGTGGGTGGGTTAGGCGGCCCATGATGCACGACCCATCACCTCTCATTCAATCCAACTAGACACTAGACAGTAATCACAGTAGATACGGCGAGTCGGCCACAGGTTGATGGAGCCAGGGTGCAATTAAATTCATTTTATTTAATGAAAACTCGGGAACAAAATAATACAATAATTAGGTTTTTAAAAGCGACGGGAATTAATTGGGAAAATAAATCATCAGAATTATTTGAGTGAGATTTGGATCTGAGCGTTACTTTTTAAAGAATGCTTTGTAGCGAGGGACACAGACTTCAAGAGGGAAGAGTGAGGTAACTAAGCCCACCACGGTAGTACCACTGTTACAAAAATATACAAAAAAAAAATTAATAATTACAGAAACAAAGCAGAAGAAAGAGAGATTTTAGGGCCTTCCCTGTTCTAAATTTTCATTTAATTTTGTCGAAACCGTTTGGAGCGTGTTTTGGCCTATAAAAGCCGCTCCGGTTTTCCATTTCCCTTTGATCAGAACGACGTCCTTTTCTCCAGATCTCGATTCCCTTCCCAAAAAAACGAACTCAGAATCGAATCAAAAGAAAACTGGGTTTTGCCTTCGTTTCTTTACCTCGGCTTTCTCCTCTCACTCTTTCTCTCTCCACTGTAGAGAGAGACAACTGGAGCTTTGAAGTGAATATATATATAGTAGGTAGTCGAGAACCAAAAAGGGGGCCTTTTTTCTCCTTTTCTCTGTCTTTCTGCAAGCCTTGGGAAAACAGTCTGATTTTTCCAATTGGATACCTCATACCTTAACCTTCCTCGATGGTTCTTGGAACTGCCGTTTTCACCAGATAAAGTTCGCATTTAGGTGCGGTTTCCGGCCAAGTTGTTGTGACAGAGGAGGGAGATTGAAGCTGGCGATTAGCTCTGTAATAATAGCGTGCATTAAAGGCTCTGGTATTGTTAGAATGGGGAATTTCCAATGCTTGTCTGCAATCGTTACCTCTCTGCAATTGCTGTTACACTAGTCCAATTCTAGTTGTCCAACTCAAACCTTCTCTTTAAGAAAGAAGGGGTACCGAAATAAAAATCTCCTCGACCCTTGTATAGGAAAAGAAGAAAGAAGGCAACGGATCTCCGGAGATAAACGCATTTGTCTGCAGAAGGGCCTGTGCTTTTCTCACTTTCTGCTTCATATACATACCCGAAAGAGACCACACGAAGAAGGTAACTGAGGCACAAATTGGGTTGGGTTTCTTCTGCTTCGTCTGGTTGGTGTGAAACATTGTCGAAATCGTTTTCGGTCATTCTTTCTTTTCAAGCTTGACTAGCGAGGCACTCCCTTTTTCGGATTCTTTTTTTTTTTTTCTTCTTCGTTTGTTGTTTCTGGGTGAAAGCTGTATTCTGGGAAGAATGGAATTTCTTTTGTTGGATGCCGGTTTATATCCGCTTTCGTTTTCTGAGGTTTCGTCTAATTCTTTTGTCTCTTTTACTGTCCGTTATGTTTCAGATCTAGACGGAATTGAGCTCCGCCGTTAAGAGATAACGGAAGAATGCTGCCTCAGAAACAAGCCGAAGAAGCGATAGTCTCCAGCTTTAATGAGACGGAAAATGAGGGGAAGGAGGAAGAGCGGGCAGATCAGCCCATATTTAGCATGAAGAGCATTCTCTGGCATGGTGGCTCCGTCTACGACGCCTGGTTCAGTTGCGCTTCCAACCAAGTAATCCCCAGAAACACTCAAAAATTAAAATGAGATCCATTTATTTCCTCCCTCGTTAAATCTAAAACAATCAATCTCGCCATTTATCACAGGTAGCTCAGGTGCTGCTAACGCTGCCCTACTCGTTTTCCCAATTGGGCATGCTCTCAGGCATATTATTGCAGATATTCTATGGCCTAGTCGGTAGCTGGACTGCTTATCTCATCAGTGTTCTCTACATCGAGTACCGCAGCCGAAAGGAAAAGGAGAACGTGAACTTTAAGAACCATGTGATTCAGGTAATCTCTCAAGAATAACAACATATCCGAAAAGAAAAGGCGAAAATTTTCGACTCGCAGATAAAATCGGACCCCTTTTTTCTTCTGAATTCTATTAAAGAACACTCGCTTTTTCTTTTAATTCCAGTGGTTCGAAGTGCTGGACGGATTACTGGGGCCATACTGGAAGGCCTTAGGACTCGCCTTCAACTGTACGTTTCTCCTCTTTGGTTCCGTTATACAGCTAATTGCTTGCGCTAGGTAAGCTCTGATATTTTCGTTACTTTCGCATTCCTTTTCTACAGTTCCAGAAAGTGCAGAATGCTGATTTGATTTAACTAATTTCTGGCGGTTTGATGATGAGAGCAGCAACATATATTACATAAACGACCGATTGGACAAGAGGACATGGACGTACATCTTCGGAGCTTGCTGTGCGACGACGGTATTCATACCTTCCTTCCACAACTACCGGATTTGGTCATTTCTCGGGCTCGGGATGACCACTTATACGGCATGGTATTTGGCCATTGCAGCTCTGGTTCATGGCCAGGTAAAAAGAAAAAAATTCCCAGTACTTTGCTTTGTCTTTTCTTTATTTTATATAAAAAAGAAATGTTTTTCCATCCTTTTCGAGCTTCTGCATTTGTTCTGATTTGTTCACTGTTATGGAATCGGGGACTATAGAAGTAGTAGTTAGCAGTAAAAGTGAATGTTTGTTTTTCTTTTACAGGTTGAAGGCGTCAAACACTCTGGTCCACAGAAGCTGGTTCTGTATTTCACCGGAGCTACCAATATCCTCTACACTTTCGGCGGTCACGCTGTCACTGTGTAAGTCTCTGAACATAGAAGCAGAGAGAGAGAGAGAGATCACTATAATTGTTGATAAAAAAAAGAAAAAGGAAAAGAAAGGAAAAATCTCATTCACCTCCTTTCACACTGCTTCTATTTGCAGCTTTTCAGTTTTTGTTGCTCAATTGGGTATCCTGAGAAAGTGAATTATTGAAAACTACTTTCTGTTTCAGTTTGAAGACGAACCCCCCCCCCCCCCCCCTCCGTTTCCATTAAACCCTTCCGCATGAAATTCGATTTCCGTATTACAGAAATTGTTCTTTAACTGTAATTAAGCCGCTGATTCATCTTCAATTAGTTGTCAAAATTAAACAGCCGGAAGGTAACTTTTTTTTCCCGAGTAAAGACGAATTCTGTTACCCAGTGGGAGTGGCTGCACTGCCATTGATAGTGGTAGTGACTGGTAGTGGAAGTGAGTGAAAACGATGTGGGGACGTAGGGATTTTTGACATGACGTTTGTTTTTGATTAAATAAAATACAGGGAAATTATGCACGCGATGTGGAAGCCACAGAAATTCAAGTACATCTATCTACTGGCGACGTTGTACGTATTTACGCTAACGCTTCCGTCAGCATCCGCCGTCTACTGGGCCTTCGGCGACCAGCTCCTCGACCACTCCAACGCCTTTTCTCTCCTTCCCCGAAACGGCTGGCGTGACGCTGCCGTTATCTTGATGCTCATTCATCAGGTCCGTTCCCGTTGGCGCACCTGTTTTTTTTTTTATTTGAACATACTTGGTCTTGTTGAATGATTGAATTTACAACGCTCTGCCATTTTGATTGTTTTTTCACCGTGGACAGTTTATAACGTTTGGGTTCGCATGTACGCCGCTGTATTTCGTATGGGAGAAGGTAATAGGGATGCACGATACCAAGAGTATATGCTTGAGGGCACTGGCTAGGCTGCCGGTGGTCATCCCTATTTGGTTCTTGGCCATTATTTTCCCTTTCTTCGGTCCTATCAACTCCGCCGTCGGTGCTCTCCTGGTCAGCTTCACCGTATACATCATACCGTCCATGGCTCATATGCTCACTTACAGAAAGGCCTCCGCTCGCCAGGTAACCTATTCTCTCTTCCTCTGCAGATAGAGATGGCACTGCCCATTTAATTTGCTCTGTCTTCTCTCTGATTAGTGTTTTTGCTTTAGTTTTCGGTGCAGCTTGCAATATCGTAATTGTCTTTTATTGGCAAGGGTGATTTAGTAATTTGAGTCTTGCTCGGTTCTTTATCAGCTAGCCGTCACGACTCATGAATACGAGTTTGACTCTCACTGGCCTTTTTTGATTAGCCGCACTTCAGGTTGGGAGGGCCCCCACTATTATAGTTCCGTATTCCAGTACTACTAGTGAAATGATAACCGGGACAGTCTGATTGGGTAACAGCCGTTGATATCTGCAATTATCAGATACGGATGGCCCACTAATGATCTGCTAGTTGGTACTCGACGAATTATGGGTCCCAACACTTTCACATGGGCCACGAGCCATGCAACTGTTATTTGTATGGACTCGAGAGCAAATGTTGATATAGGATTTTATCCTAGACTTTGGTTTGTCGTCTACGCAAAGGGGCATTTTAGTCATAGTTGATGTGATACTTAGGTATGCCGGGTCATGTTCTGGTGAATTTTCGTCAAACAAGTAGGTGTGGATCCTTTAGAATTAAAAGCCCTTGGATTGCGAGGATCCCGGTTTCAAATAATTGTGTGGTAACCACATTTATGGCGACCTAGTTTTGAAATGTCGAAAGTAGCCACTGTATCGCTTTGACGCTTTTGAAGGTGTTAATTACATAAATCGGAGGGTCCCATCTCATTGTAATGGAGGGTCTTGCTCTGTCTTTTACATGGGTCCCGAATTACTACGTGGCAAACAAGCAACCTTTTCACTATGAGAGAGAGACCAGAAGTGAGTAAGACCCTTGGGAGGAGGAAGGTGTGATGTCCAACTCACTTGATTATGTGCAACAGTTGTACCATGTACTTGGTAAAAAAGCTAAGAGGCTAGAAGTGAGTAAGACCCTTGATGAGCTGGCTAGGTGGCTTGACTCGCTTGTGAGGGTTGTGACCCCCAATGAAAAATCGACAAGTCAGCGGTGGAAAATAAATTTCAAACACCACGTGAACTACTTTTTAATTTCCATCCCTGACGTGGCCATGGTTCATTGGGGGTCAAGGGGAGAAGATATGGACTTCATCTGAATTTTGCAGTATTTTTTACCTATTCCTCTCCTCTGTGACGCAGAATGCGGTCGAGAAGCCTCCCTTCTTCCTTCCGAGCTGGACGGCCATGTACGCGGTCAACATATTCATCGTCGGTTGGGTCTTTGTCGTTGGTTTCGGATTCGGAGGCTGGGCTAGCATGAGCAACTTTGTGAAGCAAGTCGACACATTTGGGCTATTTGCCAAGTGCTACCAGTGCGCCAAGCCCCCGCCAGTTGCTCCAACTCCCTCCCATCACTGAGTTGGGTACTGACTGAGTCGTCAACCGAATCAGCACGAATCACCTAAGACTAAGAAAACAAGGGAAATTTGCTCAAAACCGCAACATTTTCTCCCCAAAAATCCTTCTCTTGTATTATACACGGGCAGATGGCAATATTTTCTCCCCACATGCTGTGTGCTGGCTTTCTTTCTTTCTTTATCCAATATCCATCCCCCACTCCCTCTTTTTCTCTCTTTTGGTTTTCTATTTTATTATTATTTTTTTTTTCAATTAGTGATTACTAATAGATACTAGATAGTGTGGTGATGAACGATTCCTTTGCTACGAAAGCATAGGTGCTCAAGTTAAATATATTTTGGTATTTTATTCTTATAATATTTTTCTCTTTCCAAATGAGGATATATCCTATATGAATTGGGTTTGTTATTATTATGAAGTTGGAAGGCTCATTATTGCATCCATGAATCACAGATCTAGAAATTAAGTTACGTGGGTCGATTCTTTGGTGTCAAAATGCCACGTGGCGTGATCACAGTGGTAAATAATTAATGAAGTTGTTGCCGAAAGACCCTTTTGATTAAAAGATTCTCTCTACTGGCGAGATGGGTATGGGCCTCCCTTCACGTGGGTTGCACGTTGGTCCACCTCTAAATCACGTTCTACCCTTTCAAGGCTTTCATCTAATATTCCCTAATCACATGTAACTACTATTAGCTGTACATGAAACCCCATGTATTTTATGTCGAATCAGTGTTGGTATTTTAAATAACTCATGGGCATTTTAACTGTTAATTGTTCAAATCAGACCCTTGACCTCTAAACATTTTTTCTTCCTTCACATGAGCCTAGTGTTTAGGTGTCGTCTTGCTGTTTGATTAAGTTACACATGGAAGAATTGAGTCTTAACCTTAAAATGAGTGTGTATTTATTAGGGTTTACTAGTCAAATTGGATTTCAAAATGAGCTAAAAATCTGGAAATAAGAGGGGTGATATGACCAATTAGGCAGACGAGCATTTTCCCTTGTTGGGCTGAAAATCCATCTTATCAGAGGAATTCTTTTTTTGGGATTTGGTCTGTCAATGGAATTCTTTATGATTTTATTAACAAAGATTGAGACAAAAGCCCTTCTTTAACCCATAAAAGTTGTCAATGATGTGGACTAAAAGTCTGTTTGAGTGTGTATGTGTGTGTTTTGGTCTTTGTAGTTTTCTCTTTATTCCCCCTTTTCTCCCCTGATTCATCCAGCTCCATAACTGGGCTCCTTTTGCTTTACTTGTTCCACTACAGCCACCAGAGCATTACACTACATTCTAAGATCCCTCTTTTAATGCACTATTTAGCAATACATGTGGGCATTTAGCACATATAGAATTGAATGTAACCATAATCTCATTTGTTGATATCTTTTTCTACAACTTCACCATCTCATTTCTGACATGATAAATTTGATTCCCTTGATTCAACCATCCGAGGCAACACTCACATTTTGATGAGGGGTGGTGGCGATGGGTTGGGTCAAACCATTTAGACCCTACTCATTTGAATGTATCTCGCGGGGGTAATTTGGTCAATCAGGTAATTGACCATGATCCCCTCCTACCTCTCTCTTTATCTTGATAGGTAAAAATACACAAACATTAGTACCAGAGTTATTCCAATAACTTTTATAGTTTTATCCAATAAACACTTGCCCGATTAATTAATAAACTCGCTTACTATAAATAAAAACAAACAGGGCCTAAGCAATGTGTCCAACCCAAGTATATTCTCAACTGATTTACCGTAGAAAGAGTGACGACCGGTCACTTATTCAAGAGATGCAATTTATGATTTTGATTATATATTAGGTGATTCTAATTTAATAGGGTAGTACAGAAGCTCAAAGTCGTTCGATCATGGGACCACCAGATCGGAATTTTTTAGCACTTTTTTTCATCCGAACTTATCAATTATCATATGGTCCCCATATTGAATAGATTGGAATCGTGGTCCTTGCCACATTAAATTCTGTATTAAGCAATCGCATCATCGGCCTTCTAAAGAAGGATCACAGAAGCCAACGAAGAAACTTGATGAAAAACAGAATAGTTATAGAAAATTAGAAATGACTTTTTTTAACCAAACGGTGACAATTAAGTATGGGACTAGTAAAGTGTCCTTTTGGTGGGAGGCATTCGTCTTCGTCCCATCTCTGTCTCCAATGCAACCGATGAAACTCAGAGTTCACATCTCCTCTCCACAAAAACCGCTTCACAGAATATCTCTGCCGTGTATTGGGAACATCTTCCGATGATAGTATTATTTTTGATGATGTCATTATCGGGAGATATTTCTAATACTAGGTGGGGATGTACTGTGAGGCCTTGTGGGGTGGCAGAGATATAATCTCTGAAACTCAATTCTACATTCCAGCCAAAGAAAGTTTTCTACTTTGTAAATACAAGGTTTGAAATACTCTATATAAGGTTTTTCATTGCATATATTAATATTTGTACTCTTCTCAAGCAAGGTTATAAATACAAATATGTACATAGATATTTGTTTTTGTAATCAAACATATTTGTTTTTGTAGGGCTCCGTTGGGCAAGAGTGCAAATACAAATATATAAATTGCACTCGGGTTCATGTAAATATAAAGTTAGTTTTATTTTACATTGATAAATTTACTTTGCCAAACGATTTTTAGTTGTTATAGGTGCAAATACAAATCCTGAGAACGGAAAAATACCTTTTTATCAACTTTGAATGCAAAAGTTTATATCTATTTTTTGGATACAAAATTTGCTCTCATTTTGAATGCAAAATCTGTATTTGTTGTCACTGTTAAAAGACACAAATGCATTCTTGTCAAACCCTAATAAAACCGAACCAACATTTAAGCTCTTCTCAAATAGAGCCTAAAGGGAGAAGGAACACTTTCATGGGTGATTAGATCCCCTTGCCTCAAGTGTGTGCACACTCCTTTTGTCCCTCCTTTTGAGACGTAATTCTTTATTGCAGCACTTTGTAATAAATTGGATTTTTGCAACTTGATATCCAAATCCAGCAATAGGACTATCCCCTGTATATTTTGTATCCCAGTCAATAATTCTTCATTGGATGTTGCTGCCAAATATGCAAGTATCCCTACATCAATGGAAAACTATAGGAAGAAGAATAAGAATAAAAGAGGTAGAATCCCCCTCACCCCTGCAACTTTGAAACTTTTCATGCTCACCCAAATATCCCCATTATAAAGAATGATTAATAATAATAATAATAATAATAGAAGATTAAAATAAGAACCTAAACTGTGAAATGAAATCCATGGAAAAATTTGGAGCACAACATGAACAAACACAAATATTCCCAAATCCATCGAGTGAATCATTTTCGGTTCATTTAGAGCACACTAACTTGCGGTGTATATATTTCTTCGCTTAGCCCAAAAATAAATAAAATAACTTGTGGAGTATTTTGGGCACAGCAATGCAAAACACTTTGAGTATGACCCCCCCACCCCCAAAGGCATCTTTGAAAAGTTTCACCTGCCCCAAGGCCCCAAGTTGAGTTGATTATCCGATCTTTTTCTTCCTTATATGCATGCTTGAAGAATTCCAAATAACAGAATTGAAAAAATAAATAAATAAAATGACTCAGCATTTCTCTCTTTAGTCTTTAAAGGAGGTGGGTGGGGGAAGGAGTGAAGGAGGGAGTGGGGGACTACCATGATCATTGTCTTCAAAAGATGATTTCGACCTTCTTTCATGTTATTCTTTTGGATAAAACATAAAAGAGAGGAAACAAGCAAAATCACCAACAGCATGGGGGCCGAGGGGAAAGAAAAGCCTGTAAAGAGCAACAAAAATTAAAAGGAAACGCGTATAAAAACAAAAGAGGACATAAAAGTTCACAGAAAACGACATCTCCCACACGCTTTCTCCTCTCTTTTTCTCTCTTCTCTTCACCAGTCAGCACTCAGCACAGCTTCCTTCTCTCTCTGTTCCAAGTTTTCCTTTGTTATTTTTTGTCGATTTAGGCAGATAAGGTTCAAGCCATTCATCAACAGCCTCAATGTTTTGTCTTAGAAGATGATGACTGTTAAATCTCAGTTAAATTCTTTGTTTTTCTTTGTTGTTTGTTGAGGCTACCTATTCTAAAGAACATGGTTTCTAGGTGAGCTCTAGGCTATAACATATTAATACCCTTGTTTTTTTTTTTTTTGCACAACTGTTGTTATAGCTGGAGAAGGAGGTATACAGGGCGTAATTTAAATTAAAAAGACTATTATGCCTCTAGGAATTAATATGCACTAAAAGCGAGTGCAGCTCCCTGGTTGCGTAAAGAGAACGATTATCGTTTCGCTTTTCAGGTCCATACCTAATTTACCTTTGTCTTTCATGAGCTCTTTCTTCTAACTAATCGTCATCAACAGCATTTTAACAGTACTTTATTTCTCCCCTGCAAAGCCTAATCTCTCTCTCATAAACCACTAAAGGAAAACCTATATTTGGGATGGTTTGGGTCAGCTCAATCCAAGCCCAGATCATAGATGCTAGGTTGGGCTGCAGTTCACAATAAATGATATAATATAATACAATCCAAGTAGGGATTGTTGAATAATAATAGAATAATTAGAATTTACTTTTATGTAAATAATATAGAAACATAACACTATTGACATGTATTAACTTAAGTATGTTGAGATGCATTAATGTGTGTGTATTTTGTAAGTGCAGGTATATCTGGGCTATTGCTATGGTATGTAAGTCTTCTTGATCAAAAAAGTTATTCAACCCCATGCAGCTCCAACTTAAATTCAGACCCAAAACATGGTCTAGCCCAATAAAAACTTGGGCCTTTCCACACCAAAATCTACCCGGTACCACTCTTTTTGCTGCGTTTAATTTTAAAAGGATTAAAGAAAAATCTTGTGTTTCTATCACTTACTGGGGATTGCCTTTTCTTTTCTTTTATTAGGTAATCACACTATAAGCTCTCTAAACAAAAATAAAATAAAATGTTAATAGGCTTCCTCCAATTAGCTAGATGGATAATCAAAATGTAGGACACCGGGCGACCAGACCCAACATTATATATATATATATATATATTGGTTTTGTTGAAAAGTGTAAAAGGAAATGAAAAATAAAACTACCAAAAAAAAAGCTACCTCATGTTTAGCCTATGTTTGGTTTGAAGGAAAAGGTAGAGAAAGGAAGGGAAAGGTGAGAAAACCTATACAAGGTTTATAAACGTTTCCCTACCTTTCCCTACTTTTTTCTTCAAACCAAACGCAGACTTAGGGAAGTTCTCCTAAACAATAATAGCAATCAATAGAAAAGGCTATGGAATGTTTAAAATGCCATTTCAGAAAACCTAATGGCTGCGAGTTTTTATGAAAGGAAAATTTGTGTTCCACATTCCTTAATTGTTAGTAAAAATTTAGAAGTGCCCATTGTCAATAATTTTCCAC